TGCTGCAGTCTCCCTCTCCCCAAGCACCCGCTGCCAGACTTAAAGAGGTCTTCATCACCACGTTGACACCATGATAAATAGAGACGTCGCCCCTGGCTCCATCTCCACACTGTAGGCTTAATGAGGTAAGGGATCTATAAAGAACGTCTAAGGAACATCCGAGGAACCTTTGATGCACCTCAGAGGAACGCCTTTCAAAAGTCTGTACAAGGAGAATGCTGTATGCCATGTGCTAACTATCTCTCAAACATTCATGTCCAATGTTCTGAACTAAGGTGATTAAAAAAGTGTCATTTTGTCAAATTCATTCATGCTGATGTTGGTTGTTTGCACTGGACAAAGCAAAAGAAGGATTTTCACAACAAAAAAAACAAAACAGAGGACCTGTTGATAAACAAGCCGAACGTCTCTGTCTTATTCCACCTTCCTATCTCCAACACAGATGAATAGATCCTTCTCCTCGGTCTCATTCTTCTCAATTAAGCTCCCACTCCAGTTGGATGGAAGCCAAGTTTGCAGTTGAAGTCTCTTCAGGTTTCTTCACTGTGCACATTCTTAATCCAATTTCAGTGCCTCAAGGGCATACCTCCGCATGTAATTTGTGTCTAATAAAGAACGGGATATGATGGGAGAAACACTCAAAGACTTCTAAAAACCACCACCAAGAAAGTACTGCACCAATAAATATACTGAAGCTACCAATGGCTGTCTAGTAAATTGTCTATCCTGGGAACATCCTGGCATGCATGAGGCGAGAATACACCCTAGATTGGATGCCAGGCACCATGAACACGCACATTCATGGCTATCGCGCAATTTTGAGTAGCCAATCCATCTACTGGCATGTTTTTGGAAGTCAGAGGAAACCCATGCAGTGAGACCACAAAGGCAGGAACCTGAGCTCAGGATCCATCCTGGAGCTGTGAAGTGGAGGTCTTTATATATCAGTGTCTTGAACCATGCCATCATTATTAACAACATTATTAAGACTTTAGTGGACACCAAAGATACCGGAACCAGTGGTTCTGACAGATGATATGTCTGAACGTATTTTAGCTTTCTGTGTCTCTCGGTCTCTCGCTACTGCGTACACTACCTGGCCAAAAGTATGTAGACGCCTGACTAATAATATTCATATGTGCTTGTTGAACATCCCTTTCCAGATTTAGTCTGCTGTTATAATAACCTCCACTTTTCTGGGATGGCTTTCTACTGGATTTTGGAGTGTGGCTGTGCAGATTTGTACTCAATGATGTTGGGCAAGGAAGCATTCCAGTTCATCCCAAAGGTGTTCAGTGGGGTTGAGGTCAGAGCTCTGTGCAGGCCACTCTTCCACTCCAACCTTGGCAACTATGTCTTCATGGAGCTCGCTTTGTGCACAGGTGCATTGTCCTGCTGGAAAATGGTCAGGCCTCTTAGTTCCAGTGAAGGGAAATTGTAATGCCACAGTATACAAGACAGACTATACAATTTTGCGAGGCAGTTTAGAGAAGACCCACATATGTGATAGTGAGGGTTTACTGAATGAAAAGAACTCTGCTAGTCAGGGACAATTCAATTACATCAGTCAGAAGACACAATGTAACATCCACATTAATTCTGATCACATTAAGTCCTTCATTAATGTCATGGTGGGTGTCAACGTTACAGAGTTAGCCGTCTGTGTGTGTGTGTGTGAGTGTGTGTGTGTGTATGTGTGTGTGAAAGATGCTCGAGATGATGGCAGTAACCTCAGTCCTGACCTTCTCGTGAATCAATGAGCTGTCTCGCGCCATTACTTTACATAATGTATTAAATCATTTCTATCTGCGTCACGGGGTGCATGAAATCAATCTGTAATACAGGGATACGCACATGTAGGTATATGTGCTTGTGTGTGTGTGGCACAGAGAGGTAGAGAGTGTGACGGAGAGAGTGAGAGAGAAAACTTTCTAATTTGCTAATGGAACAATTGTCTTTGCTTAGTAATCAAGATTCATAGAGGACACACAGCAGTTTCAACTATATCTCGTCTCGTGTGGATGAGACGAGGGGAGGAGAGAAAGACAGACACTGTCTTTTGAAAAGCATTTCACCCCTCACTGCTAGAACAGTACAGTAGCAGCTAATTTATAGGGACCTGTGTGGCTCCACAGGTTATTTAACATTCATTTAACATTTTTGGAAGGAGTCTCCTCTGTGAGTGCTTTGAGTCAGACGTAAAGATGTAATGTTTCTGACATGCATTCATTTGGGAGTTCTCATTTTGTGGACATTAAATGTAGCTATAAATGGATTTTAAAAAATGTTTTTTGTTGTTTTTTAAAAAAAAAAGGGAACTGTCATTCCTTTGAAAAACAGGACCACCAACCGGTGAACTAGCTTAGCTGTATCCATTTGTTGCAGAACACCAAAAGGAAAAAATATGATTAGATCATTTTCTTTCTCATAGTACGCTGGCGTTCGGAAATCAACTTATCGGACATTTTCATTCAGTATAAACAAAGAAATTATTTTATCACCACTAGTCGAGTAGTCGGGACACTGTTGGGTTTCTGTGTGTAGAGTATCATGACTTCTGATGAGCAGGGAGATGGGAAAGGGGAGGGGTGTGAGCCCCCTGCTGGCCAAACAATTTACACCTCTGCACAATAACATTGGTACGGAGATAAAAACTGACAGCACAAGTCAAGCTTTTTTTTTTTTTTTTAATAGGAAAACACTGTCACAATAAAATGATAACATTTAAACTTAGTCGGCTAGGTAAATAAAAAGAAAACCTGCATGAACTGAATGAACTATTTGGCCTTCCACTTCAGCTCCAGACGTCTAGACATGTGAACTCAGTCCCTTGGGCATCTGAGGACAACAGCATGCAATGGAACTGCGCTTGGAATGACCGTGAAGATGGAATGTGCGGAAGAAAGAGGAAATATTGAGACATACAACATTGGAACCCAGAGCAAACACTCCTGTTTGCTTTTTCACCCCCTTGTCATCTCCCTCACTCGTCTATTTACAATAATGCTCTTCTGGACCAAACAAAACCACACACCGTCATTTGCTCCCCTTTATCGTTTTCCTCTTTTTTTTCTGTGTGTTGTTTCTAGCATGACAATTCAGGTTCAACACACACACACACACATACCAGCAGCACTAACAGGTTGTAAGTGAAACATCTCTGGATGTAAGATTGGGGATAATTGAATCTTTACCGACAACCCCCCCCCCCCCTATTCCTCCCTCATTCACTCATTCTCTGCCGAGGCATTATACAAGTGTTAGTGACAGCTAGACAGGAACTATACATCTCTTCACCTGGAGAGCAACCCGCTTATCTCTAGATCAATTCGAACCAATGGCCCTTCTTCTCCTCTATCATCCCACCACTACTCTTTCTCTAACTCAACAATCTCTAGATCTCTTTCTGACTATCAAGCACATAAAACAGGAAGAGAGTGAGCGTGAGAGAATGAGGTACGAGGTACGATATGAAGGTCGCCACACACAAAATTCAGGCCGGCAACAAGGATGTAGTTCGACGAGTTCATAAAACGCACACTAGCACGTGTCACACTCTCAAATAAACACCTCAGATCATCGTATGACCGATATTGTAAACAAAACTGCTGATTGTCTTTTTAAAACTTTAATTAGTGAGTCTAAAATGGGTGAAAGTGTAATGTTTCGTACATTTAACCTCAACATTTACTTTACTTGTGATTGAGATACATGCGAAGCAGAAACAATGTTTTCGTTCTGGAAAGCATGTAAAAATATGAAACGTAGAATATGCCAAAATTTCACCATGTGAAGGGTTGTCCCTGGCTACCGCATACTGTATATGTTATATTTTTCTTTAATATGAACATTAGAGTTATATTATTTTAGATGTCCTGAAATAACTGGATAACCAGGTTGCTAAAATGAAAGCAATAACTTAGAACGTAATGATTTGACTATTTAGAAAATAAACATTAAGAGGAAAACAACAATCAGTTGAGCACAGAACTGAAAGATAGATAGAAATCGAATAAATCCAGATTTGCTCCAGGCTGAGCCACAAATTTATTGTAACTGTTATTACACAGACAAATTAATACGTGTAAATATACAACCTGCAGTTGTGCAACTGAAGCTAAGGTTCCTACGAAACAAATCTCAAGCAACAGCCAGAACATGAATATATCAATTCTGCTTTAAGCATGTTTACGCTTCCTGAGCTCTAATTACACAATTATGCTTTGCTGTAGCATCCTATTTTTTTTTTAAAAACGCACCGCTTCCAAAAAGCATGCGAACGTGTATTTTGTTCTACAATCATCCAAGAAATCTGCATGCGAGGGAAAAAAATAAACTTCCCCTAGGACTCCGACATGCTCATTTCAACAGCACAACATCTCATGCGCTAGGAATAAACAAGGAAAAGACACAAATCCTCACTGATCCTCTGACTTTGAGTTAATCCTGCCGTGAACTGTTCCGCCATATCTTACGTTTGCCACTTTGTCAAGCCTGATCGCGCGTGAGCCGGAAGCCGGAGAACATTTTGCTCCAGTGATTTTCTGTAGTTACATTTTAAAGCGGTCTTACCTGAATGAGACGTAATTACAGAGACGAGGAGACAAGAGTCTGTAGGGGACCATTGTGCTTTTCTGCCATGGCATAATTGCGAGTGCGTCCGCGTGTGTTTGAGAGCGTTAATACAAGTGCGCTCCGTCAGAAGTATGAGTATGTTAATAATGGCTTTGTTACCGGAGTCGTTCTGAACTGCGTCTTTTTGTAACTTGTGTGAAAGTATGCACATCTCAGACACACTCAGATGTACTGCGAGAAAAAGTACTCAATATAAGTCATTCATTACACATCATAATCATATAGATGATCTTCGATTTAGTATGTAAGTGTGTACGGCATTAGGAAACAGGCAAGTGCTGATATGAATAATCCAGCCATGCAGCCTTCTATACAGCTTAACCTGTGAACCTGGAGCCCCGCAAAACTCTACACACACACACACAGGGCTGTGGCGGGAATCGAACCCACAACCCTGGAGGTTTGAACCGAACGTGTGATCCACTAAACCACCGTGCACCTGGATCTTGGCTTGTTTACTGCATTTTGACTTGGGTAGCATTCTGGCAAATAAGGATTCTCACCAAATGTCACCGAGCCGACATTTGTTTAGCTTCTCTCATTCAATTAACAGAACTGAAGGCTACATAAGGAATACTCCAGTATTTTTGAACATAATCTCTATACACCACAATGGAAATTTGATGCAATGTGTTCCTGCACTAAGAAAACAACGGAAAAGTCTGTTTATTTGAAACGATCCATCCATCCATCTTCTACCACTTACTCCTTTTCAGGGTCACGGGGAACCTGGAGCCTATCCCAGGGAGCATCGGGCACAAGGCGGGGTACACCCTGGACAGGGTGCCAGTCCATCACAGGGCACCATCACATACACACTCACACACACATTCATACATGCATGTCTTTGGACTGGGGGAGGAAACCGGAGTACCCGGAGTACCCAGTAAACCCCCGCAGCACAGGGAGAACATGCAAACTCTGCACACACATGGCCCCGGCAGGACTCGAACCCCGGGCCATGGAGGTGTGAAGCAAATGTGCTAACCACCAGGACACCGTGCGCCCTTGTTTATTTGAAACTCACAATTTAAATCTAAGGGCAGTTGTTGAAATCCAACAATAAACATTGTAACTGCATGAATCGAATTTGAAAGTAAGTACGCAATTTCCAAAAAAAAGTTGACATTAAATTTGATCAATTAATCTAACAGCAAAAACAATTAAATTGTTCTTGCCATTCCAATAGTATCAGAGGGGACTGTATGCTTCAGAAACTGTACTGTAGATATGGGGTCAGTTGAAAACTGCAAGTATTCCTTTAATCTGATGTCTCTACAGTTAAAATGGTGCACAATGAATATTGATCAATTACAATTAGAGGTCATGAAAGGCAAACGGCACTTTTATCCCCCCAAAAAAAGTTTCAGAAAATGGTAATAATGCAAAGGAAGTGATATCGATTTGACATTCGACCAATACACAGAACCAAGTTGAAGCTGAAAGTAAAGTAACTCTCCGGAGTGGTATCCGGTATCTGGTGCCAGACGGAGGGAAAGTAAGTGCCAGTCTCCATGCCCATGAATTGGGGAAGTGAGAGCAGACTAATGTTTCAGAAGACTTGCATGATTAGACAGGTTAAAAGAGCAGGACTCGCGTGCTGAAAGAGCCGAACAGAGAAAACAATATGTGCTCTTGAGGAATAAATCAATCTCGCATAGAAATACGTCCATGCGGCCTTGTGGCGTATCAGATAATTCAAAACCATCATACACCCCCCCCCCCCCCCCCAAACCTTTTAAAAAATAATAATATTTGTCAATTATACTTGACACAAGTGCAGAAGTATTAATATTTTCCACCCACTGAGCAATTAAGGTTTTAATAGCTAATCTAGCTCCTCCCTCATGCCTGTGAACCCAGCGCTAATGAATATGCATTGCCATCATGTCCTAATTAAAGCACGTACCAATATGCAAGACTCATTACTATGACAGTAGCACTATTCTCGAAGGAAAGGAAAAATAATGACTGTTCCTATGTATACACGGATACACACAGACACTCAGTGCAGGATCTGTACATGTTAATGTTAAAATGGGGCTAAAACACCTGTCCCCCACCTCACTGTTGGTTCGTTACACTGTTTCCTAACTGGGTTACGAACTCCTGTCCTGTTAATCACGAGTGGGGTTCTGGTGTTACTTGATTTATGTTCTTGTTCGAGCACAGAGCTGTGAGATTCAGTATCAGGGACCTGCTCAGATCCCTGAGCTGGTGTGTTCCAAAAATACCATTTGATCTGCAGTTTCCTGACTGAGATTCAAGTCCAACCTTGAAAATGAGTACGAGCCATGCTCAATACTCCACTCTATATTACATTTCCCCATATATTTTTCCATTCCACTTCTGACAGCCGCTTTATTGTGGTTCTTGTACTGTAGAAGCTATCGCCGTTGCCACATGTAAAAGGTTTGTAACCAGATGGAAACAGGCTACATCTGTTAATGCCTTGCCACAGTTTGCAGTCGGACAACGTCAGCTATTCGTGGCTGACCATCGCGTACTTAGGGTCATTTAATATTATTACTAGTTGGACCAAGTGCCAAGTGCCTTCCAAGACAATTCGATTAATTGTCTTCTTAAATACACCCCAAACCATATACAGTACTCCTACAATAAATAGGACACCACCATAGGTACTTGCACAGGAAAATGGTGTACTAGTTGGTTTTCTGGTTCTTTTCTATTTATGTGTGAATATAGACTGATGCCACTTCCTGGAAAGGCAACTTATATCCTTTCACAGTGGCACAGGATACACATACATCTTTGGTGTGCTCGATTGCAACATTTCAATGAAGATGAGAGGCAAATGGTGGTTAAAATCAATCAGCCTCAGTTGACACTAGTTCTTTAATGTTGGTTTGGGGTGTGCTTAAGGGCCATGGTGGCCTAGTAGTTAAGGCTGTGCACTTGTCCTCAGAAGGTTGTAAGATCATAAGGGTAGCGGTTGACAGTGGTGAGCCTGCATAGAGAGTAGTACCAGTGTCATTGTTCTGTCCCACCACAGCTGGATTTTGGAGCAAGTCCTTTAACCCCTTCCTTGGAGGATGCCCAGAAAGCCTAACCAGTGTGCTGACCCAGAAATCCCTTTCCTTTATTGGAATGCGCATCAGGGGATTTGAGAAGAAAATCAATACACTAGACCAGATTCTATTGAGTTCTATTCAGTGAAGAGTTCCTCAGGTATCAGGAATAAGAACTGGAGAAACCTGTGATATTCGCTTTTGCTGAACCCTGGCTTGGTGACTCACTAATGAGGAAATCCAGTGGGATCCAGTCGTCATCCTTTTCACTTCCCAAGACTCAAGGAAAGAAAGGGAATTTTATATGGTTTTCTCTGGCTGGTGCAGGACGACTTCTAGTCTAATCTGGTCCTGTTGATGGTCGAGTCTACAATCCAAGGCAAAACTAATGGAATCACCATCCTTACAGGATGTTCACCCGGCCTTTTTACTTCGCAACGAATAAACAAATCATAGATGTCACACAAATCAGTTTTTGTTCTGCCTTTGTGAAACAAGCCTCAAAACAAATTAAATGAAATTATTTTTAATTAACTACATATTTTTTTTCCAGATAAAGTACAGGAAAAAATCAGCTAATGATTTCTGAAGTCTACAAATGCAAATTAGTCTGCAGTTAAAAAAGAGAGCTTACAAACCTTAACCTTGGACTTTTTGAAAGGAAACATGGCCCCAACAAGAGAGTTGTCAATTGAAACAATGGAAAGGATTATAAAACTCCTTCAAGAAGGAACTCCAACATGGAGTATGGCTAAAATTTGGTGCAAGTATAAACAAAATGGGAAGGTTATAAAAAGAAAACATACAGGTTGACCAAGGAAGACCTCAAAGCGTCAGGATAGAACACTCAAAGCAATACGCCTTGAAAATAGAAGATGCATAATAAGACAAATGCAAAACAAATGGACGGAAATGTTTGTAACAGAACTGTAAGAAATCGGCTGAATGAAATGGGATTTACATAAAGAAAAGCCAAACGCAAACCAGCAGCAACACCTAAAGAGAATAAAACAAGGTTACAGTGGGCTAAAGAGAAACAATCATGGAGTGTGGATGATTGGATAAAAGTGATATTCAGTGATGAATCACGAATCTACATCGGCCAAGGAGATGATGCTGAAACTTTTGTCTGGTGCCGTTCTAATGAAACATATAAAGATGACTGCCTGAAGAAAACAAACAAATTTCTCCGCTCATTTATGTTATGCATGTCAGGTAAAGGACCGGGCGAGACCTCAACAGTCAATGCACAGGTGTACAGTGGAATTTTGGACACTTTGTTTTCTCATTCCATCGAGAGAAAATAGGTTTGGTGATGATTTAAAATTATGGTGGAAATTATAAAAATTGATCCATCCATCTGTCAACCACTATTTGAGAAAGTTGTCACCAGCTTGATGGAGAATACCGTTTTTCATTAGTGAAGTCCGTGCCTCAAAGAATTCAGGTCGTCATAAAAGCCTGAGCAGGAGCCACAAAGTACTAATTGTGTTGATTTTTTTACATTTATTTTTGATTCCATAATTTTTTCCTCGACATTGAGTGATTCCATATGTTTTCCCTCTACTTGATCTGGAAAAAAAATGGCATTAATTAAAACAATTGAATTTGTTTGCTGGAGGTTTCATGAAGCTATTTAAAAAAAATTGTTTTGTGTCATATCTCTGATTTGTTTATTTGCTATAAAGTAAAAAAAAACCTCGTTGAACATACTCTGTGAAGTGTCATTTTTGCTAGGGGTTGTACTCATGCTTTGTACCCTCCTTGTCACTTTCCTGCTACTACCCTGGTGTTAATATTGGGTTATTTTAACCAAGGATCCGTAAATTTGTATTATTAATTAATGTCCTTGTGTGATAATAAAGTATCTCAGACCTACACGATGCAAAGGGTTGTATTTACAGCAAAATCAAGACCCTGATAAAAGACAGACACTATTCAAATATAAAGGTCTCTGCATTGCATTGGACAGCCTAGTAGAGTAGTAATGTTAGCCAGATCTTTATGTTGGCTTGTTTGTAATCTCTATTAAAACATTTTAGATAAGGGAGAAGGAGAAAGAATTTAGCAGTGTGTATGTAGCAATATGAACAGTCAAGACACTGGAAACTTCTTATGACAGAAAGAACCAAATGATTCAAGCTTGGCCTCAAGCTCAGCCTGCTTTTCACTTGATTTGACTCGAGGCGCTTGACTATAGACTGTGAGTCACTGCTCGGCTCTCTTTCTTACATCAATGCGATCGCTGTGATTGTGTCGATGTAAGAAAGAGAGCCGAGCATTGAGAAAGACGTGACTGGCCAGTTAAAAAGTACGACATGTAAGGGGCTGCATCCAGAACAACCTGATCTTAACATGCCATCATTTTAGGAATAAAATAGCTCAGTTAAGATCTTAAGATTATGAGTT